ATTGGGTTTCACTTAGATGTTTCAAGGGCGAAACTACCCCCAGGGGGAGTACTATTGTGTAAACTACTAGGTGGTAGCCGGTCTACTCATGTTATATATTGGGAAGTGATAATAGATATGAGATTGTATCTAGATTAGATAGAGGAGGCTGTTAGCTTTGCATAGGTCTTTGAATCATCCCAAACGGGTTAGCGGTAGAGGAGTTATAGCTTGTACAAGTTTCAGTACTTAAGGTTGGGCCCCTACCATACTCGGGGAGGAGATACTAACGATACGGGTACATTCGATATACTGTTCTGTCGATTGTGTACCGCTGCATGCAGGGGTCATGCGACCACCCCGCACGACAGCCTGTAATTCCATCTGTGCCCACTCGCCTCCTAGCGGCTACACCTGCAGGCCGTTAGGCGCCGCGCGCACCACTGTCCGTATGGCCACCCCACGCCTGGCCATTCCATGGACCCACACTGCACATCCGAAGAGACAAGCGCCCCGCAAAGCCCGCTGGCCATCCGGCGGAGAGGGCCCCGTGGCCCATCGGGCCCCTCGTCGGGCGCATTGCCCGCGAATGAACCGAAAACCACGCCACCCGGCGATGTGGGGTTGTGGGGACACTGGGGACGGCATTGTGCCATTGGGCGGCGATGGATTCTGGGGATGCCTAAGGACGTGGGTGTGTGGGGATGCTGGAGACGGAATCACTCCGCCGGCTAGGGATGGAAGTCCGGGACGGCCCCCCCTTCCCCTCCCCTTTCGGGGGCGTCCCCAGGGACGTCCCTGCCATCCCCGGGGACGTCCCCGGAGGTTGGGCCTTTTCTCAACCCACTACTCTATTCGAATTTAGTAACCGTGATGTTTGGCTTTTGTATGGCCCGGAGATCCCTGCTATAGCGCCCTACCACGATGGAAACTTCCGTAGCAGAAATTTCAGTTCCCACAACGTCAGGTTCTTTTCAAGGATTCTTCAACTATGTATTGTAATGTTGTCCTGAACGCTTTGCCCCCTCGATAGAGTGAACAAACGGGGCGCCGTACATTCTCTGTCACATCAACCCTCATTCGATGTGGCAATGACGCAGCCATAGCGGCCACCCCGCCAAGGCGCTTGGCAATGCAACAGCCAAGCTGTCAATTGCATCCTGTGATCTACATGATGCTCACTAACCTTCCGGAAGTCACCGCCTGTCATGTTCAGAGGTGATGCATCTAATGAGCCGGTGAGTCGCCATGGCCGCACAGAGGTCTCGAAGATGGGGCCACGCATCGGCGTGTGTACATGCACACCTGCGCTTCATCATGCCAATGGAGTTTGATGCGCTGGTTGGCCGGTCTTCGAAACCTCGAGGCATTAAGCTGGACACGCCTTGCATTAAATGGCCATCTAGTTCAGCGGACGGCGGGGCGCAGCCCATTGCGGGCTGCCAGACCACTCGGGCCACTGCGTGCCCACCGCGCAGGCTTGTGGTCCGTGCGCTGACTCGTGGACACACTGCTCTTAGTAAGGAGACTGGGCCCTGACTTCAGGAACCAGGAGGCTGCCGGCAGTCCCAAGGCTGCACTGGCGAGGCGCTGTTCATTCAACTTCCGCTCATTCGGGCGGGCCGAGCCATCAAGTTTGCCAAGATGTCGCCGTTCACATTTCTGCGGCTGCCCAGACCCGCTGACGAGGCCGCCTTTGTGAGGCGGCGCGCGACGAGGCACATCGCGAGCAGGGACCTGCTGTCCTGCGCCATCAGGGCGTCCGCCATTTCGGTGTTCCTCGCGGTGCAGCTTTGGCAGCACTCCCTCGGGAGGCACGGCCAAAACGCGCTGCTCAACGTCGCCCTGAACGCCTTGATGGGGTGGATGGGATTCAGCTGGCAGAAGGCCAAGCGGGGCGGCAAGAGAACCGCCATGGCGGTGATTAATCGAATCGTCATCCTATTCTCCCAGGCCATGGATGCGACCACCATGGAAGTCGTGGCCAGGAGACCTGGTTCGATGTTCCGATGCACGCTCATGCAGTCCGAAGTGCTGGCGCTGCTCCTGGCCAACGCAGGCGTGCCTCTCCTGGTAAGGCACCACCTGGCGGTGAACGTCACTGCAATTGTGAATATGAGCGTCATCACGGTGCCCAAAGCGTGTGCCGTGGCCGTTAGCGCCCCCGAGATCGGCTCCATCGTCCTGGCCGTCTGGCGGTTCATAAATGGCGTCTCCGCTGGAGGAAAGCTTGAAGAAAACGACCGGCCTGCCCCCCTGTACAATTTGCAGAGCGTCGTTACCTTGTCGCACGTTGATCTCGGGCTGTCGTGCCACTGTTCGCGATGTGGGCAGTGGAATATGAAGAGCGAATAAATGTCAGTGAAGGAGATGAGTTCTTGACAAATGACATTATCCGCAAGCAAATGCCCTGCTTTGTTCCTGGGATGGCTGCATGTGGCTGTTTCTGAATTTTAGAATGTGGCTGCAGCGATCGAAGAAGGATGGGTAAACACTGTTCGACTCCATCTCTTTGCTTACCAGGTCAGGACTATGGTTACACGTGTGTGTGGCAGGTCATTTCCTGGTCTTTTCTGAGATTTTCAAGGTGCATCTGGCAGACAGGATGTCTTGAACTGTTTGAAATTGGGACCGGCATTTTTTACCTTTCAAATCTTGTCTCTGAAATTGGAAGTGTGCTGGCATCCAGTTTCGGCATTACCAGCGAAACAAAATGGGGGAAACATTGAAAGATTGTGCCTGATTTATATATCTTTCTTCCGAATCCAGAAGTCTGCAGTTGTCAGAGATGTTGTGACGTTTTTGTTGGATTTTCTGCAAGATTGCACACTTGCAAGCATGCAAGCTTAAGTAAGGGTGTTCTTACATGTGCACGATGGTCATCTTTTCTGGCCCCCAGACTGCTTGTTGCGATTTTATGTTGCTTGCTTAGCAGTTGCAAACTGGTGTGTTTGGTTTCGAGGCTGAGAAGCAAAGAGTGCCCGTGGTGGCGCGCTAGCGTTCAGTTAGTTGTGTTCTGTGGAGAATTTTGGTGTTGCGTTGTGTTGATGTGCTTGTGTGTTGTTTGTGGGTGGGGGTGGGGTAGGGCAGCTGTCAAATGGCACGATTCGAACGCGCGCATTGAGTGGACGGAATGAGACCCAGGTTGTCTTTTGTGCTTATTGCCAACCGAATTTGACAGGTCTTAACTGCCGCCATCGCGCTTGGCTGCTGCGCACGGCACTGCCGACCAAGCCACTCACGCTAATTGCAATTTCCTGCCGGAAGCTCATATTCAAAGAGCACCGGACGCTATTCGTGCACGGTCGCTAATTCTCTGTCGCATGCAATTGCTGTCACCAAGAGCCCATGTCACCTTGCGTCCATATTTGTTGCCTCTTCGCCCTATTGCACCTCCCCATCGGTCCACGTACAGTGGGCTGGCAGTGGCACTGCGGCAGGCACCGAAGACCACCGTACAGCATGTAGGATATTGATAATCATCAAGCATATATTGATAATCATCAAGCATATGATACTTATCGCAGACATCCATGCTCCTTAATATGGTGCCCTCCAGCCCACCTGTAGATCGCGTGCCCTGTGGGCCACCCAGTCCCCTGAACTCGCACCCAGCGATAGCACCCCGCCTAAGCCCCCATGCCTAACACGGCCGCAGCTGTGTACATCAGTCACATGGTAAACTCGCCGTTGGTTCGCCGTTCGCCACGCTGTCGTTTCGTTTAATAAACAACGCATGACTAACATGTAACGACTGTTGGGTGACGCAACGTCGTCGACCAGTGCATGGACGGCGCTGAGCTTTGCTGGCAACAAACAAAATGGGAGGGAAACACAATTCAAATGGGAGAGCATTGAGCAGGGGCCACAGTTGGAACACCCAACGAGTCGCAAGCAAAAGCAGCGCATTCCCTTGGACTGCAAGAAACTGAAACCTTATCTACAGGCTCACAATTGTCGTAAAAGTTCCGCAACTACGGCAACTGGGCCTCTTGAAAGAAATAATTTTAAAACATCGCAAATGTTTTATCACAATATCTAATGCAAAATATGAATGCAGGTACAATAATACTGCCCGAAGACCCAAGATATTTTTATTAAATTGTGGAAAGGATGCTTGTGGGCTGCATGACAGACTCGTAGACAGTTCAGAAGGCTTGCTTATGAGTTCTGGTGAATCTGGTTTTAGAAAACCGGGCATGAAACGGAACTTACAACCCAAACGGCAATCCCCAAAATTGTTCCTCCGTCCCAAAGCATTCGCTCTCTGTGTACCTAGCGCATTACTACTCCATCACGCAGAATTTTAACAGAAACGTTCAATCAGAAACTCAAGTCGACCCATCGAATATTGCGGATTTGCAGCGCAGCAAAGGCTCTCAGGCCAGAAAATCTCAAGCTTTTGATGTCAATGTGAGAGTCGCCTTGCAGATAACTTTACCTGGGGCACATCATGATTTGCACCTCTCATCACCGGTGCACCGCTGACTTGCGCCACCGTTGTGCACACGAACGATGTGTCCCAAGAAGCTACCCTGGCACAGGGTCCCTGTGCCCTAAGTAGCCACCCTGTGCCCCAACTGGGGACACCTTGCGGAAAATAATCCACAATGCATGAACTTCAAGGTATCTGGACGCGGCCCACAAAAGTCGTCTCTAGTCAGTGCTATTAGTGGCAGATGGCACGGTTGTGGTGCTCGTGGGTGCCTGCATCACTTTTCAATCTAATAAAGGAAAAACATAGTTACTCAAAGTGGCAAGGGAAAGCAATACGTGCACTGTCGCAAAACAGAAAAGCCCAAGCAGCGCCGCAAAAGGAACCAATCCACTTTTGCAGAAAAAAGTCCACTGTCGCAAAAAGAAGCGATTGCCGCGACCCATACTTTGTTGAAGTCTTTACTATTCCTACTGCAGCCCGACCCCAGAGTTTAAGTACACCCCTCCAGCCGCCGCGCACCACGAGAAGAGATAAGCTCCACGAGAAGAGACAGGCGAAAAGCTCCGAGAGAACGATTGGGCCAATGGCGACTTGGGGCCCTTGGCTGCCGGGTTGCGTTTGCCCCGGAACGGGGGGACACAGGAGGGCCTCCGCGGGCCTCAAGAGACGGGCAGGATGGCCGGGATTCACACACAGGCGTGCCATCGCGAAAGAGGGTCCCCTGGAATGGAAAGAGGCCAGCGACGGCAGTGCGGCCCAGGGCTCGCTCGAAGACCTGCCCCTCCCTGAAGGTGCGGCGATTTGAGTTCAGCGGCATCTGTGGAGACCCGCCAGCCATTTTGCATAGGCCTCGGGCGCCCTGGTGTTCCAATGTGTAGATCTGGGTCTCACATCTTGGGTGGGCTCCTCGGGCGCCGTCGTCGTTGGCGAGCGTCCCATCCCCCAGTCAAGGCGGCCAATGGCACGCCACTCGCATCCGTTTCGACAGACCCAGCAACCGAGAATTGCGGTTGTGCGCGTCTCCGGCGTTCGTGAGCCCTTGACGCAATCGGCGCGGTGATTCCGGTCCTGTGGGATCCGTCCCACAGAGGAGGATCGATCCCAGCAAGGTGAGCTGCACGCTCGCGTCTCGAGGAGGCGCATGTGCCTCAAGCTGCCGCTGGACCGGTGGTGCCCCACGGCCCGCGATCCTGTAAATCTGACTGGAAGCCCGTTTTCAACACAAGGCTTGAGCTTTGCAAGGCAATAGGTACATGGCAGCGACTCCTGCTTTGGCACGCGGGTTTGTACCGTCGATCGTCGTTGATGCGACTGTCCACCGGTCACGTCGCGTCATGTGCACCGGAAGCCACTCGAGCCACCGCAAGCTTGGGGGGGCTTGCATGACGTAAGCCACGGAGTCCCATTGCCGTGGTGTACACGGCGCTGTTCAGCGGCCTTCGGTAACACGTAAGCGGAGGACTCTGTGTCTTCAGTCAATACTTTGCGTGCTCTGATGCACCAGTATGAAACGGCGAAAACAGCGAAAGCGACGCAGCACACTTTTTCCATCTGGACCACAAACGCATGCGGGTATGCTGCAAGTTTTCCACAATTGCAGAGGAGCCACTCCAATTCCGGCGGGATCCTCTGATTGCTTGTGCAACCGCGGCTGCCCTTGCAAGCAGGCTTGGCTTTTACGTTTACGTTTACATTTTTGTGTGTGAAAACGCAAAATTGCGAAAGGGGCTATTCTTGCAGCCGTTTTCACGTCTTCACGGCTCGTTGGGACAGCCAGGTCGCACGATGAAAGTTGCTTGCAATGATTGGTCCTCCACCATCTCCAGCACCCGCAACACACTGCCCACCTCGCCCTTGGCAAGGGCAACGAGGGCATGGAACAAAAGCTCGCTTTCTACCCATTCCAGCGCGCCTGACTGCCAATCTCCGGACTCCCCAACTCTGGATGTATTGTCCTTATGTACACATGGGTGTATTTAAGCTGTATTTACGTGTTTTACACGTAAAAATGTAAAAGCTCTTTTTGTGCGTAAAAATATAATACGTTCATTTTTTGCGGCTTAAAAACCAAGCCTGCTTGCAAGCACTCTATGCATCACTGGACATCGCGTTCAAACAGTATTTCAATGCTGGTCGCATTGTTGCTAAGCCTGTGCTAGAACTGTGAAATGTGCAATCTTTAAGATAAAGGATTGCAGCGTTTAATTCAACTATTGCGTGCGGTACTGTAAAAGGTCGTATACATTGTAGCGTACTGCAACAAGCATTATTGGAGTGTTGTTTGTGCATGTGTTGGCGCTGATCTCTTGCAATTCGTAATCTCAAAAGAGAGTGGACAATGAAGACGAAATACTACGAAGTTTACATTAGGGAGTTCCCTAGCGTGGCTTCGAAGCCCCTGTGTCAAAATTGAAATGTTTAGCGTCAATTTGATGCTGGGGAAAAGGGAGAGGGGTGCGCTGTGACGGTAAGAAAATATTGTCACATTTTAGTAGCGTTTTGGGCATCTTCTAGGCTTGTGTCAATTTTGTGGTAATAACAAAACCCCATGAATCGCCCAAAATAGTGCCTTCCCTATAGATCATCCCAGTAGAGCATTGAAGGCAGTACGCCTGTGGCTAAGCCAAACCTACTGAAAGGACTTGATTATGGCATTTCAACAACGTGGACTGAAGCTAACGACATCGGAGAGAGGTGGGATATCCTGGATGTACATATGCAAGGTACAACCTCTCATATTCCAGGATCTGGGTTGCATATCCTGGGAATGGGAATACCTCGCAGGGTTCTCCAGCATATCTCAGGATATGGGCGGCCATATCCTGGGCATGGAGCGCCCATATCCTTTGACATACATGTCCGAGATATGGCGCCAATACCATGCTCAACATCTTGGATATGTGTTCCACATTCTCGTGTTAACCATCCGGGAGATGTGACTTCTTGCTCACAAACGCAGAGTATCCTGTGTACGCAAGGACCAAGACTTGGTGCGGAATTCAGGAAAGTATGGCAGCACAGGATCAACAATTTTGGTGGCAAAGTATGGTGTCCCATTCGACAGGCTTGGCATCTGAAAATGGTGATAAGTGCAAAGCTATGATGGAATGAAACAGCACAGCGTCGCCAAGGAGTGAACGACCTTGCCTACGGAATGGAACTCGGAAAGGACGGTCGCACGTTGTGTTGGGTAAAACGGGTCTAAATCCACAGAATTTTTGGCCGAAAGTTCAGTTTTTGGATTGCCGGCTGACTTCCAAGAAGGGAAGAGCCACCCATTTTTAACTTCAGATCTTTGCAAAATGATCGATTCCATGGACATCCTCAATAGAGCTCACTTGATACCATGCAGTCGCTGCACAGTAGCTGACATCATGGTAGAAACATGACGTGAAGACGGACCTACGCATTTGCCCAATGTAACATTGCGCCGCCTGCGGCACTGGTGAGTGCCGGGACGTCCTTGATGTTTCCCAAACAGTTTTTCTTCAAATTCTATTTGAACATACTCTATTTGCTTGGCAGATCCGCTCACCATGCAATTGCAATAAATTCCTTTCAACGACGCATGCACCAAGTCCGACTGCACTCCGCTGTTTTGGTACACACTCAGGGGACACTGGCGGGTGGCCAATCATAGGCCGTACACTCGATTTCCTGAAAGATCAACACACCTTCATGGCCGACCATGTCAAGAAGTACGGACTCGTCAGCAGGGCGAATTTGCTTGGCAGAAACGCTGCCATCATCGCGGGCAGCGACAATCTTCATAAGGTACCTGATACTGGGTCGCCAATGGCGTTTTACACTAACGAGAACAATTGCACAACCCGTGAGTTATTTTGGCAGCGTATGCAGTAACACACCTACTCTGTAACTTGTGCCTTCCGAATGCAAAAGCGCCGGCACAAAAGACCTTTCAACTATGTGCATACCATTCGGCGGGCCAGTGTGGTATTTGGTGAGCGCCCGGTGCACCATTCTATGTTAATTGTCAAGGCAAAATTTGCAAATATTCCATGTTGTTTGTTTGCCTGGAACATGTCGACATGACCAGCATAGATTATTGCGGTGCATCTTTTGGGCGTGACTGTATGCTCGTTTGATATCTGAAGGAATGGTTCAGAGCGCATGGGCCGCTCCATTTTTATAGCATTCGGCAATTGGCACTGCCTTGTTGCGCCTTCGAAAGCGCCATCACCTGTACTCTCACCTGTTGTAATGCGTGACGCATTTCAATATACTTTTAGATGTGGGGAATTGAGCCGGTTGTTGTTCACGTTTTCATAACTGAGTCTAAATTAGCCTGCATGCAATAGGCCACTTGGAAATTAGTGTCCATCCTCCAACGACCGAAGACTGTGGCAGTGTCAAATCCACCGTGGAAGCCGCCATTGAACTGACTGCCTGAGATCTTTTTCACTTTTCGGCGCTTTATCTGCGTTTGTTACAGATCATGACCAAGGATACAACACTGTTGAACCAGCGACTCATGAAGGACCTGCAGCTGCTCGCTGGACCCAATTCGTTCTGGAACAAGGACGGTGAGCACATGCACATCATTCAATTCTGATCGGAATGCTCAGTTTTGGGTCAAAAGCCTGACTTGTGCATGCTCAAAGTGGCGAATCGATGCTGATGCCTCAGGGAAAGTGGAATTACACAGTGGAGGATGTAATTCTTCTCATTTTCCTTCCTGACACTGTGCCCATGTTCTGGAGTAAGATGAGTGAAATAACCTGAAGGCTTGCATCTTCGCTTGTAAGGGTACGTGGGTGGGTGTAGGGTGGTGGAAGGGAGGGATGGATTTGAGATTCAAATAAGGCTGCAAGGTGTCCATTGTTGATATGGTGGCAACACTTGTGGGAGATGAATCTTTGCACGTGCTGCAAATGGGCGGTGTGCAGCATCTTGAACAAATGCCAAACAGTGCACATGAACGGGCAGAACGATTGGTGACCAGTGATATCAAGAATGCATTACATGGAGCGGAAATTCCATTGAACTTCTGAGGCTCACTACCATCAGGCGAAGATCACGTATTCCTGAGGAAATTTCTCAACCTGTCGTTCTCCCGGACCGTCATGAGGGAGCGCATTCCAGATCTTGTAAAGACGGCGGACAATTGGTGCAGTAAATGGGCGAACAAGAAAACAATTCTGGCAACAGAGGAGGTACGAAGATATTTGGTTGACAAAACTTCAGTTCTCCAAGATGAGCACCACTTAGTCTGTGTCAGGTGTTTGCCATAAAAAGTGGCTCATTAAATTGCCCCTGCGAGCAGATGCTCATTGTAGCCTATTTTTTGCGTTGCACAAAGAATGCTTTCCTGTATTACATTTGCTTAGTATCACTTGATCAAAGCTACGATTGCCTGCATATGTTAAAATTCTACGTAATTATGTGTATTTTGTATTCTTTAATCCTTTGAATGCTTCACCGTTGTCGAAAATTCACAAGTGTAATTAGAAATGAACGATCATGGAGAGAACTTTCAGCGAACATATTGTATCTTCTTAATCAGAAGCTCCAACTGGGTTCGATTCAAACGAGAGGGCATGTCCATGAGCTTACCAGGTGACCAGGAAATCGATCCTAGCACTGTCCTGAATTCCTAATTCGTTGGTGCAGATGAATTCTATATTCCATTTTAATATTTGCTGATTTGTTCAAGGTGTGATGTCTCCCTTCAGCTGAAGCGCTACACTTTGGATGTCACAATGAACGCTCTTCTTGGAATGGAGTTTCCTCTGAATGGGGAGTCACTGGAGGACTTGTACAACAAGTTGCACATCTTTTCCACAGGCGTCTACTCGTTTGGTATTGACCTTCCGTTCACAAAATTTGGAAGAGCCATGGCTGCACGGCAGGAGATTCTGGACATGATTTCCGAGGTAGGGATCGTGATAGAATGACGGCAAAAGCAATTTTTTATGCGCATAAAGCATGGGAGCTCTTTTTTTCATAAGGTGTCAATGGTTCACATTGAAGTGCGAATGAATACCTGTACCTTTCGGTCCCAGCATAGTGCTAGCTGTACCGTTTGGTCCATTTAGCCATAGGGAGGTGTCACCTGCGAGGTGTAGCTGCAATATTTCACATGTTGCGAGGGAAAAGCAGTGCTCTTGCAAATTTCGAAAATGCAGGTATTAGTGCACTTGCTCAAAGACTGTGCGCTGTCTTGATATTCAATTGGCAGTTAGCGTTGCCGGCGCGATATTTGCTTTTGATGCCAACTGCATGATGCGACAATGCTGCTTGCAATAGCGTCCATACAATCACCATAGGAACTCCTGCATCTGAAAGCGTTCCAATTGGCACTTATACACACAGGAGCATACGAAACATGCTCCAACTCTACGTTCCACTGTGTAGGGGATTTACCGCTTTCGGCGCAATCCAGAACTAAAAGGCTGCCTTCGGAGCCTAATTGATGGACGGGATGAGGATGGAAATGGCCTGACGATGCCAGAGCTGCTGGATAACATCGTCACCATAGCATACGCTGGATTCGAATCTACGGCCCTAGGGATGACGACAGCACTCTTGAAAATGGCACAACAGCCTGAGGTGGGGCCCAAGCAGCGTTCATAAAACATTTGTCGCATTGAATCTGCTGGCTATTTCCCGCTCTGATATACTCAATATTGAATGTGCCTTTCCATCCTTGGAAAGTTCCAACAGCTTTGTGAATATCCAGCGGGGGCGCATACGGAGCCAATTGAGTCGTGGTATTTATTGCATTGATTGAGAAAGACCACCATCTTATGCTGTTTCACTAAAAATTCTAGCGGAAATATGGGAACGGAACATGGCTATTTGGTCACTTTGTGCACAGCTGTCGCTCAGGTCTGGGAAGAACTGAAAAAGGAACAGGAGCGCATCATCGCCAAACACGGCCCCGAAATGACAGCGGAGGCCATAGAAGACATGGAATACACTACAGCGGTGTACAAGGAGGCCGTGCGCATAATGCCTACACTTCCAGGTCTTTTCAAAGTCGCAACCAAGACTTTCGAGATCAACGGATACCGCATACCCAAGGGCTGGGTCGTTATTCCCTTAACAGGCACCACCGCTCAGCACTACGACGAACGGTGGCCCGGCGACGCAAACTACTGCCCGAACCGATACTTGACAAAAGCCGGACGGGAACCCGTTCCAGAGCTGGCCTTCGGCCTTGGGCCACACTCTTGCATTGGACGTTACCTGTCCATACTGGAGGCCAAAATCTTGTTAGCGACCATGGCTCGGGGCTTCAGCTACAAGATTGCAAATCCGGACCAGGCCAGGGTGTATGCGCCGTTGCCCTTTCCGGAAGATGGACTCGCCATGATAGTCGACAAGTGAAGGCGCCTGTTCTCCTTTATATGTTGTCTCTTTCCTTAGGATGGACATTGATATCAATGGGTGGAAATTGGAAATTGGAGGCTAGGTGTTCCGTTCCCTTATCATCGCTGGCACACTGATATGCTGGTTTTGCAGGCAATCCAAAACACACTGCCCGTGCGGGAATGAAAGCCTCCCACTTCGGTATTGGCGATTTCCGATGTTGCGGGAAGATTGCGGTGGACGGTGGAGGCAGCATGATCAATATGACTTGATTGTGGATGAATTTGAGTTTGGAGTTTGAAGTTTGAGGAACGAGCGCTTGGCACCTTGGTGGGGCATCTCCGTGGACGCATACATCCTCGTGGATGTATGGTCGTCGTTTATCTGTCGTTTAGATGCCATCTTCATTATTAATGGGAATTTCGAATTGAAGGGTCAGTGGCAGTGGTAGCCACACAAGAACGTCGTCCGTTTATGCCTGCTCCTGATTGATTGAAATATTTTGCGTCCTGCTGAAGGGAACAGGCTTGCAGGCATCGAAGACTAGTCCCTTTCGCTAAAAAAGGGGACAAAGAGCGCTTTTTGCGAACACATGTGAAATGCATTCCATCAGTGTTGGGCACGCTAAGAACACAAAAATCATCCAAACCCGTAATTTTGTACACATTTGAGCACGAATTATTTGGCCACTTTCCCTAGCGTTTAAACAAAGGAAATGCACGATCTGTATCTTCCAGCGCCATACTGGTGCCTGACAGCTCTCGCATGCGTTAAGCCCAGGCCACAAAGCAGGGGCGCCTATCACACCTTCTTGCACGCCTTTGCGATCCAACTTGTAAAGTCCACGCCGCCCCCGTGCAAGGCTCCGTGTTGCAATTTCTAGCTTTCTTCTGACAGTGAGTAGCAGGGTGTGTCCCACGAGGCTACCGGGCGCGCGGAATACAACATCTTGATATTTTCGCCTGGATCGGCAAATTTGTTGTAATACACCGTTGAATGTTCACACAACTTTTGTAACACAAGTAGAAGTATTGCTCGTGGCTAAACCACGCATAGCATTTAATCTGCTTCCTATGTAGACTGAGTGCTGCGAGCAGTGGAAGGTACGTCGTTGCATGTACCGCCTCAAAGTAGTTTTGCTGTTTGTTGTTTCATTTGTGTTCTGTACAAATTATGATTCATGGCGGGGTCCGGGAATATTGAATCAGCGGCTCACGTAAGTACTTACTATTATCTTTCTCCAGATGCTCCTGACACAACGGCTGCAAGCCTGCTGCCCCACTCACGTGCATGCCATTCAACATTTTGCCGAACATTTTGTTTTAGGCTCGAATTTCCGACCAAACACATAGCATTATGGCGAACCATTGCTTTTGCGCTCCCGAATTTCGCAGTGCTTGATGCATTTGTTGTGGCATCGCAAGTATCCAATACACAAAATCGTGGAAATCTCCCTCACTGAAACAGTAAAATTGGATTTTGCATGAATTTGCGAGGAAGTTCATTGTCAATATAGCTCCTCTGATTTAGAAAAATGCCGGTTGCGATTTTGTGCCTCGTGTGTTGCCAGCAGTATTTATCACACTTACATCAAGATTCCTGTGGGCAGTCGAGCAGACAGCGACTGTGCTCCTCAAAGCTTTGGTCAAGTCTGCCACATGCGAAATTATTTAGTGTTGTCTACACAGAAGCCTTCACGAATTGTGACTTCGCCCAATTTTCTGGCACATGGTGTAAAAGGCACGCATATGCATGCCTCCGCGTACAGTAAACACGCAACCTGCCCAGCCCTCTATCGCGATCAGCTGCCCTTCCCATTCTTGTAGGACCTTATTCAGCGATGGTTTTCTTGGTTCCATTGGGCTCGATTATACAATCCCCTACAATATCAAGAGCATTCTTCTTCTAACAGCACCCCTGCCTCGCCAGGCTTGCGAAATACGGATACGGTCTAAAGTAATAATACGGTAAGACTCATGTGCTGTCTTGTTTTTTGATGATTAAAACATCGTCTAAAAATATCAAACAGTTTCACAATGACATGGAAAGTAAAATCGGCCAGTATCCACTGCCAAGAAAAGATCAATCAGTCAGCATCCCAAAAGAATTCAATCAGTCATGTCCGGCCCATCGATGGGCATCCTCGCCCACTGCCTCTACAATTGAAACCATGTCGGCATTGCCACTCGCCCCTCGCCTCACCCACAGCACGCTCATCTCCCTCACGACGCGCAGGTCGCAGGTCCTTGGGATGCAAGGGACAGGTATCATCCGTTAATTGGCCAATTTATAGGCATTTAATGTAATTGCTCTAAATACCTCTAAAATTAGGCGAGTTATATTTTTTTGCCAAAACACGTGCATTGTTCCTGTTTATTTACACCCGGCTGTGTTTCACAAGCCTGTGCCTCGTGCTCCCTCTTGGTGGCATGCTGGCTTGGGTTCCCTGCCGGAGTCGCGTTGGATGTGTCATCATTTTCCGACTCCTCACCCTTTTCTCACACTTTTTTCTTCGACCAGCTGTCACGGATGATTCGCACGTTGCTGTTCGCTTTGCGCCGCCATTGTCGACTCAACATGACGATATGATACGTTCTCGTCAGGCGATCGGCGATTTGGCAATTAATTATCAGGCAACAATGCAGTGAAATCGATGAAGTCTTTTGCTTTGGCATAGTGCACTTAGAGCTCAATGATGTCCAGACCCGGGATGCAAAGATATTGTGTAGTTGTATTATAATCAGAAGGCGGCAGGGAGAGGGCCGTGACAGCCCTCACAGTATGCAGAAAAAGGCCCCAGGCATGTGGAGCTTGATTGCCGTGGCGGCCGGGCGGGGGTGCTCTGCGGCTATTGAACAATTGCCATGGAACAATATTGCCACATGGACCTACATTCCCCTCGTAGTCACTGCTAAAAAATCGACCAAATTAAACGGTCATGAAAATCTGCACCGCGTTATGCGTGTAAAAATCGTGTGGAAATCACAAAACACACGGCGCCGCTGGTACACTGTTGAAATCGTGCAAAACCTTGTTCTTTATCGTGTTATCCATGGTGGTGAGGTGGGCCAATTTCGCGTACTACACAGGGCTGAAATTTACACGACTTTAGCAATCGTGTTAGATCCTGCGCCGAAGCACCCTATTTTTATACGATTTTAACACGATTTCACACAATTGTACATAGTGCAAAATGGTCGAATTTTTTCAGTGAGCGGGAAGAACCATGCGTTGAGGGGCGCAAAAGGCAGCGATTGGACCCATGCGCTCGATAGTGATTTTTGGTGACCTCTGGAGACGTTCGCCTTACAAATGCCGACCCATCAATAGGCCTGCTGATGGGTCAAACCAGGTTGAACGGTAGAGGAAGTGCATTAAGGTGCAATGGCAGCAGGGTTTTAGTTACCAAATTCGGTATTTAAATAACAGCAATGCGCAAAATTTTGTGAGGTGGTTGTGCGCACAAGTGCTGCATGCGCGACTGCATGTCTCTGTCTTGCATTCAGGACAGAGCATTGATGGTATTGCTCGGTTGGCGGGCGGTACTCGTTCACCAAAGGCTGGCAGCTGTATTTGGGAGCGGTGTGGCGACAAACTTCCACGGCAATCTTGAACGTTATGGGGCTTCAACCACCCGAAGTAAGGTGGGGTGCAAACCACCAGGCACGGCCAGGAGTGGCCTTGCATAACAGGTAGCCAATTCGAACCATCGTCTCACCCACAAGGCGCTGGCCCTGACAGAATGTTAAGCCACGGACATGGTAATCGATTTCAATTCCGGCCACCAAAATACCCATTTTGGCGCTCCCTAGATGCCTGATGGAGTCGTGGGGTGGGGCTGGGGGGAGCCCCCCCAGTCTCCAATAGCCTCGAGGTTATTGAAGACCTTTTGAGGGGTGCACACTTGGGGTTGGGGGTGATTGAACAGGAACCCTTGGCATCAGGACATATTTTGTTGTGCAAATGCAATTAACCATCTCGCTAATATGTTTCGGCCAAGGGGGGCCTGCGTCGATGATTCAAATCGGTTGTAGCTGAACTCAAAGAGGTTTCTGGGCCCTCTAATACCTTGGGTCAGTCAAAGTGCGTAGTTTACAAGGTGCCGTCAGTTTGGCGCCCTTGGACTTGGGCAGGCTTTGGCAGGGCTCAGCGGGAGCGGCTACTTAGAGGGAGCCTAAATGGCCGCCGGTCTCCCACCTATTTTGTTCTGCACCCGGCCCTCCCACCGGTGGGAGGGTACCCTGGATAATAGAGCTCGGTCGAGTTGAGGGAGATAGAGGGAAAGTGTGGAAGGAAGTACTCGATTGGGGGGCTGATTCAAGGCTGAGTCGCAGCAGAAAAATGGCGTAAACTATGTGCGAAGCAAAAGTTCAAACTGTTAAGCACGGGGACCTTGGGTACTTGAGGCAATGGCGATGAACGTGTGGAACTATATGCAGTCGTCGAAGGGGGCGGGTCGGCTTTGTGCTGACTTTCCGCCACTGTCCCTCCGCCAGAAACTGGCTGCATTCAAAATTGTAAGGCACAATCATGCGCCAAAGTCGTGAGCAGCCGCAAGGCCTCCGTGCGGTCCTGAGCAAAGAGCAAAGGCAACAAGAGTTGCCTAGGGCGCCACGAAATCCCACCCGCCCTTGGTGCACGCTGTGGACATTCAAGACAAAATGCAGCATCAGGATCGACAACCTGGGCGCTGATACTTCATGCGTGACTTAGAAACCTTGCACAGCAAGCCATTCGCTGTCGATCGCCATTGCCGGGGTTTTGCCGTTGACGAGGACCATGCAGCGAACCCCTCCATTCCCATCCCGCGTCCGCCACAGAGCTGCTGACACCTCTGCCCGCCTGCATATCCAACATTCAAACCACTGCAAGGCCAAACGACTTCGAAAGGTTGGCCAGTTAATTTCATGTTGCGCTGCCACCATTGGCAACTTACGCCATTCTGGCCTAGTCCAGCACGTTGCTCTCATCTTTCCTGATCTCCCCACCCACAGCCCATCCACGCAACGCCAAGGGGTGGGCGAGCAGCGCTAGCTTGCCAGCGTGGCGTCCTGCCAAAATACAAACTCGTTGCCTGGCTTGGCCTCATGATGAGTTCGGCCAGCCCACTGAACCCGCCAGGTGATCGCCTACATCCAATATGCAATCCCTGGTTGTTCACCTTCGGGTTGGTTCCTTTGCAAGGTACCGGGGAAACGCACAAGAGTGCGCTCTTATGTGAGCATGCCATTTGCTTGCCAATTCGTGGGGCCTCCTTGGCTCTTCCATTCTTTCCACCCTCCCTCACCAGTGGCGAGTCGCCAACCTAAGTGTGAGCAATTGGTGGTGCAGGCACTTGTTGTGTTCTTTTGGGACATGTACATCAGCGTGAAGGTTTGCATCGCCACACCTTCGTGGATTGGCACCCAGCGATGCCGCCAATCCCGACCCCATGGCATGTGTGCTTGTGAGCGGCGCGCGCCACAGGCGGATTCGGTCTCTGGGCGCCCAGGGCAGCCCTCACAGCCTTCATTTTCCTGTTTGCACGGCGCAGCAGGCTCCGCGGCTGCCAAAAACTGTAGCGGGGTTGGAGGGACACTCGCAATTTTGAATGCCGGAGGGGCAGGGCTGGATACGCTGCGTGGTACATCGGGCATACGGACGAGTCGTCCGTATATGCAGCCCCTTCCGCGGACTGCATATAGTTCCACCCGGTGACGGACACCCTTATAAGATTTTGGAAGTCGACTGCGGTGCCCAGCACATTGCCGACTGTTCCCCAAAGGCCGCCGCAGGTGCGATCCGTCACCAATCCAAGACCGCACATTGGCACCATCCACGACGCCCTGGGAGGTGGCCCGCTGTCGATGTGAGCCTCCCCATTGGGCCAGCCTGCAGCGAGCCTGCCTGCGTAGCCCCTGTCGGGTGGGTTGTCCGCGCCGACACCCCCCAGTTGCCCCAAGCAGCAGCCCCAGTTGGCCCCAGCTGCCACCTGCGGCAACCGCCGACCACTTCCAGAATGCCAACCCTGGACATCAGCGTTTGGATGGCCATTGGACCATGGTCGATGGCCACCAACCAGGCTCACGGCAAGCCGCGATCGCCGCCCCGCGATCCCCCGAAACCCGTCCACCGTTCCGATCCTCCCACTTACGAAAGCGCGGACGGCCAGATTGGGGCCAGCTCTGGCGCGCGGCCCACTTCGATCCCCATTCACATCAGTTCCAGCCGGACACTGGCAGCCTGCAGGCACCCAGCCAACTCCTGGGATGGGCAGCGCATCCTGGCGCCGGTGCAGTTCGCGCTAGTCCGCCGCGGCTCAGGCAGCCTCGCCCGTGGAGGTGGGCACCGACCGGCTGGGACGCTGTTCCAGCAGCTATAGCAAGCCACAGCCACCCGAGGCTGCCGACGGAATGCGTTCCTGCCGGCGCATGCATCCCCGCTGGCACGTGCTGGCCCCACTGATCGCCACTCGGGCCAGTCGCCGCTCTAATACATCCCGAGGACCGCGCGGTGCTGCGACTGGCCCCAGAGGCGACTCCCCCCAGGCCGTGGCAGGAGCAGCTCAAGGGCCCAGGGTTGTTGGCGGCGCTTTCCCTTGCCTTCCTCACGACAATCCTAATGGATCGGAATGGGAATCCGTAACGCCATTCCGGTGGGCCATCCATGGGGGTGATTCAAGAGGGTCGGCGTCATGTGCCATCCCCACTAACCCTGTCAAGGCCCGCCGACTGGTGGGCGGCTGTGCGCTGCCCCCGCCGTCTCGGGTCGATCAGCCAGGAGGGCAGCGCCGGGAGAATGGCCGAGCCCATGGGAGCCTTGCGCCCGCGGCCGCCGGGCCACGTTTGCGCCTGGACAGCGGGACGCCGGGTGGCGGCCGTGGGCCTCAGGAGACAGGGAGGATCGCGGGAAGCGACGCAGAGGCGGACCGCCGCGACGGAGGCCCCACTGGACTGGAGAGATGACAGCGATATCGGTGCCTGCAGCTCGCTCGAAGATCTGCCCCTCATCGAAGGTGTGGAGAGTTGAATTCGGCGGCGCCCGCGGAGGCGCGCCGCCAATTTCCAAAGGGACTAATCCAAATAGTCTCCGCGACCTCCGTTTGCGTTGCCATGGTCAAGATCTGGATCTGAGCTCGGGGATGCCGTGGGACCCCCAGGGGTCGCTGTTGCCGGCGCCCACCCCGATGCCCGACGAGGTGGCGGTTGCCATGGGTTTCCCATGTCCTTTGACAGACGCGGGGATGGAGAATTGCGAATGGGGGCATCTCCGGGCGTGGGGATCAGCCACCCACGCGTTTGGCGCCGTGAATCAAGTCCCGTGGTATCCGCCCCTCGAAGGACGATCGCTCTTAGAACGGCCAGGTGCTCGCTCGCGCCTCCTCGGGGCCGCACGCGGGCCTCAAGCAGCCGCTGGACGGTTGGTGACTCAGGGGCGGAAGCCCTGGAACTGCAACCGCAAGGCCGTTCCAAACATATCCGTTACAGTGACGCAGGGGGGCGGGCGATTTGACGGGACGTGGAAGTGCCAGTCACGCGGGCAGTACCGCAGGCCGGGTGTGATGTCACGGGCTCTTGTGGGCGGAGGAGGTGCACATTTCGGGACCCCGGAACCATGTGGCGGAGACCGCTGGGCTCCTGTCAGTACTTGCGTGTTTCGGTGCACGTGCATGGAATGACGAACATGATGTGAGGGGGCCCATCATGCTGCATCCGCAGTCCGCTCATGAACGTTGGCGATTGGCGCACGCGTGGCGTTACTGTCCACGTAGCGTTAAGGCTGCGCGGATTGTCACAGCCGCACACAGGCCGCTCCCATGCCCCGCTCAATACCTTGGGTAAGCATGGCTGGCACTGGACGCATCACCGGGGCATCATGTGCCACCGTGCTCATGGTGCTCGGTACACGCTTGATAATGCGCCTTTGAAGGGAGTGAAAGGGTGCGGCGCAGGGAACCTTCGCTTCACTCAGGCTTGGTTTTTACGCCGTAAAAACTGATCGTATTTACGTTTTTACGCGTAAAAACAGTTTTTACGTTTTTACGCGTAAAAATGCGTAAAAATACGTAAATACAACGTAAAAACTGCCCGGTGTACATAAGGACAGTACATACAGACTTATGGAGTCCGGAGAGCGGTAGCCAGATGCCCTGGAAGGGGCAGAAAACGAGTTTTTGTCAAACACCATCATCGCCCTTGCCAAGGGCGAGGTGGACACTGTGTTGCGGGTGCTGGATATGGCGGAGGACTGATCATTGTACGCAACTTTCATCACGTAATCTGGGCGTCCAAGGGAGCCGTAAAAACGTAAAAATAGCCGTAAAAATAGGGCCTTTTGCAAATTTACGTTTTTACGCGTAAAAACGTAAAAGTAAAAACGTAAACGTAAACGTAAAAACCAAGCCTGGCTTCACTGTTACAAGCGCTGTTGGAGCTTTCGGTGCTTGTGTTGGCGCTCACGACTCATCAGTATTTGCAGCCAGAGAATCGCATTGGCAACGAACGCGTAGTGGTCGATCTTACAAAAGGCGGAGCACCACCAGCTTGAGAGTTGGGTTCGTAATGAGGGAGTCCATTCGAAAAAAATCGTGAAGCAGGCCCGGCCAGAAATCATCAATTCTTCACGCATAGCAGAAAAGAAGACGCGGCCACTCACCGTTGCAATGCAATCTTGCATCACTTGAGGTCAAGTGTGGCCAGACTTCCTTGATTTCTATTGGTTAGTTGTTCGACAGGTGTTGAATAACCACGGCAAGCAAACCTCTTGCGCCTGGGCGATGAGAAGTCCAGAGAGATGTCTCTGTAGAATTTTGTTGGAATGATCGTAACCCCATTCCCCACGTTACCCAGTTGTATCAGGCAAAAAAGGTGGCAGAAACCCAAGAAGACTCCGGTTGAGAAGGAAGGGAAATAGGAAAGGGTGGAGCCTTCCGGGTTCCGCCGTCTCTCTCTTTCTCTGCAGCCCGCTGTCAGGCATTCGCTCCCGTTCTATGCGTCCCATAGACCACACAAGATGGCCTGAGGCCTGCGAGGACGCGTGGTGGAAGCTTCTGTGGCGCAGGGAAGTGCAAGGGATTCAGCAGAATTTGTCAGCGCATTTCGGAACGAGAGTGCAGTCGAAAACATAAGGGACTGTCATCATATAGTTTTGAGAGGACAAAGCACTGAATCCAGCTCAAGCTCTTTCATTTGTGCACACAGGGGACACTGGCGGGCTGCCAATCATAGGCCGCACGCTTGATTTCATGAAGAATCAACATGGTTTCATGGGCAATCATGTCAGAAAGCATGGGCTCGTCAGCAGGGCGAATCTGTTTGGAAAGAATGTTGCTGTTGTTGGCGGTAACGACAATCTTCAAAAGGTACAAGTTCCGAGGGCCCTCCAGTGCAACAGCGACGCAGATGCGCTGCACACACTTCAGGGCAACCATGGCACTCCTGAAGTGTTTTGCAGCACATGCAGTGGTGTATTTCCCCACCATCTTGCTGCTTGCTGAAGCAGAGGGCTGTGTGCAAGAATGACATCAAACTGTGTACATAACGTCTGGCGCATATGTATTTTCATCCGAATGCGCAATGGACGTAAGTCATGACGTATCGCTCTTCGATGGTAGGCAACCAGAGACTTGCAATATGCTCCAATTGTGCTGCGGGTGTGCTGCCGTGTCAACGCCGTCATTAGCGATTTTGCAATGTCGCATTTTGTCGAGAATTGTAGAATATTAAATTCAATTTCGAAGCAGCGGATCAGAGGGCACTGAGCCACCTCATAGGCCAGGCGCTACCTATATCTGGCAGCCATGAAAAATGCAGTACTTTGTCATGTTTCAAAACGCGGACAAAGATCGCCTATAAACATGATTCTGTTGATGATGAATTCTACGAATCTGTCAGACGAGGCTTATAGATTCTTATTATGTTTCCTTTTACAGATTCTTGTAGGTTCTTTTATGTATGCACGTTGTTATAGCAATAATATTGCTTGGTTCAGGGCACCAAAAATTGATTGAGCTCCTGTGTCAAGCAGCACTCGCAGCAGCTGCGAATAGTCAACAAAAAGTTGTTGCAGAAGTGCCTGAGTTGGCATGACTTCTGGCTGCTTTTGTTGCAATCTTCCCAGATCTTCACAAAGGACCCTAAGCTGCTGAATCAGCATTTCATGAAGGACTTCCAACTGCTCTCTGGTCATCATTCCTTTTGGCACAAAGACGGTGAGCACATTCATACCACTCATCTGAGATGAGACATCTCTAAATTGCTTCATCAGTTTGGGGCCAAGACTTCGAGCTGACAGTTTTCTACTGTAGCGAATTGCTGCTTGTACAACAGTTTGGCAGAATGGCACCATGCAAGATGTGATGAGGTGGTTTCTTGCATGACTCGATTACTGTGTTATGGCATAAGGAAGTGCAACAGCACGAATATTGATGCTGCCCTTTGTCAGGATTGTTGCTTGCGTTTGTTGCACCATTTTATGTTGTGTTTATATTTTTATGCGCACAAACTCTGAAAAGAGAAAAAAAACCCATCTCTTGTGGCTTGTTTACACATTTTACGTTGCGTCGACACACCCACTTTACACGATGAGGTTCCAAACAACATCAGTCCGCCGCCCCTCTGTCGCTCGCAACACAACATCTGCCCTGCCCTCGGCAATGACAACGACATTGCTGAACAACGGTCGTCCTCTGCCCATTCCAACGCATCTGACTGCCACTCTGTGAACTCTCTGAGTTTGTGTGTGCTATCTTTGTGTACGCAGATCCCATACTAGCACAGGTTTTACGAGCTTTTGTCACATAAACTTTAAGCACCCAGCAGAGCAGCTTCAGAACACCGTATTCCAATGCATCCTCACCAACAAGACTTGTATGAGTCATGGTCGGACGCCAATTGATTTGACCCTGGCAAGGCACAAAATTAATAGTCTTGGAATATCTAGGGCTGACTTGGCAATAGTGATTATGGTCTGTAGATGTGCACAAGTTTCTTTTCAAATCAGCTGAGGGTGGTGTACAAATGTTCTGTGAAGTTCCAGAGTCAAATGGTTAGCATGATCACTGCGTCTTCATACATAGTCATACATAGCCACTGGCTTCGGTGTCTGTAGTAGGAGGCAAGGCAGCTATTGTAGTCTGATCATCAACCACTGGCATGATGTGCATGAGAGGTGGGATTTTGAGTGCACAGCCGAGGAAAGGGCGTCTTGGAGGTAGAAGTCCGAACACAAGGCCTCCCACTGGTTGTTGACATGCTATCGGATATTCCACAATGCCTTGCCACCCTTTCCTTTCAACCCAGGCCAACGCCGGGATAAGCCTGAACGTGCTAATTTTGGTGGTGATGTTCGAATTTTGCCAATGCAGGTGAAGGAATTGGTTGTATGAAAATGAGAGTGCATTAAGTCAGTGACTTGAATTTTCACCAGGCGATGCTCACATGGCGCTGAAGAGGTTGATGGCTCCATCATTCTCCCAGGCCGCCCTAAGGGAGCGCGTTCCAGACCTCGTCAGAACGGCGGAACATTGGTGCAAGAAATGGGCGAACAAAGGGAGCATTTTGGCAGTGGAGGAGGTAAATGAAGCGTGTAGAGCAGGCTTCTTTCTGTCTTTGCAACGCGCAGTACATGAGCGCAATGTATATTCTGCATTCATGGATCCGAATGCGTATTTTGCGCAAGCTGTTTTTTGGCATCGTATGTCGTGTGCCCGGTGTGGTCATGCTCTTCTGCAGTCAAAGTCACTAGCATATCAGGAATCCGTATTGGAACGCTATGTTACAGTTCACATATAAAGATGCTATGCTATTTCACAGTTTAAAATCGATATAAAATGGCGTGCCATACTTGGAACTAGCTAGTGTCAAAATTTCCTGGAGGATGCTTGCTGAAGCTCGTTTGCTTTTCTTCTCTTGTTCAAAGTTGCGATTAGTGGCGTGCATGAATGCTATATGAAAATACACGCATTTGAGCAATTTGCACTTTTCCCAGCACCTGCAAATTTTCCACAATGATGGGAAAGTTGGTAGGGTGACTGTTGGTCTAGTCGTCATGTAGAAAAATTTTCGGTCTTGTTTGGCTCTCTGACAGCTTTCGGGGTAAACGAAAGCATTTCCAGCAAAGTCGAATTAACACAGAAGTAGAGGTTTGTAGCAGTACAATACTGCGGCAAAACATGCATAGCCTGCGTAGAAGCTGCCTACGCATGTTTTGCTGCAGCCTACTCTGAAATTTCGCAGAAATACATTGGCAACAGACAATGTGATAAAATTTTGATAGACCTTTCCTTTACCTTTCAGGTGCAGCGCTACACATTAAGCGTGACAATGGATGCCATTCTTGGATTGGATTTTCCTGTGGGCGGCAAGTCCCTGGACGAAATGTACTATAAGATGAAGACCTTTTCCAAGGGTCTCTACACCTTTGGGATCGACCTTCCATTCACAACGTTTGGGAAATCTATGGCTGCAAGACGGGAGCTCGTGGGCATGATAACAGAGGTGGGGTTCTTGAGAACCAAGGCGTGCTTTGCATCATGCCTGAATGCAGTTTGATGTGGTCTTAGATCTGTTCCTTTCTGAAAGCCGTGTGTGAGTGGCACATGTGTACTGGGAGCAATTCGTCGGTTTGTTTTTGGAGTTGAAACTTTAATTCTGAGCAGTCATATAGGAGGGTGTTTTCCTTGTGCTTCATCAGAACATTTGCTCAGTTCCTCGTCAACACTGTCCCAGTCAATTGATGTCTGGCATTGCCATAATCCACAATTCTGGTGTTCCCGTACTTATCACAAATCACTGCCCTGACAGCATAGGGCAGTGGCACACCGCTGCACAGAGAAACGGCCACGCAATCATCACATCATTTTCCTTTACAAACTTCCATGTAAATTGAAGGATCCCGTGCCAGCCCTATATTTTGTGCAGCATGACGTCAGAATCGTATGTTCAAGTGACACTTTCCCTCTGGAAGATCAATTATAATAAAAAATAGTCTCGCATTCTTCTTATCTTGGCCATAAAGGACCCGATTTGTTGCTTTGCAATGGTTGCTGCACTCAGAACGCACAGTTAGGGTTATGGATATGACAGAAATCGGACAGCAAACGTGCTGCAGTCATGTCCTGGACGGGTTACTATCGATGTTCGCCCCTGATAGGGCTGTTGCATGGCGAAATATGTGCTGCTGAGGAAATGAAAATGACGCCAGTGAAGGCAATTCCTCATCCACACGACCTGTCGTTGCCCTGCATGCGCAAGAGCCATATTGAAATGTGGGAAAGGTGGTCAACCTAATAGGTTAACTTGAATTCAGCACAGAAGACAGTGGTGCTGCTACACAACCTCATAGTGCTCTGATGAATTCAACATTTCCTCTCTACGTCTGGAAATCGGGATGGAGGTACAGCAACATGGACAAGCCTTTCTGCAGCGAGTAAATTGACGTGCTGCCTGTCAATGTTGCTCTAATGACCATGCACCAATATCGTACAAGCAACAATGGTATTAACTTTAATAAGCTCAGCAATTGATGGGATGTTGGAATTCATGCCCCGGGTTGGCGTCCATATCATCGGGGGGCAAAAAGCGATGGAGCGTTGATATATGAGGCCTGCAGCAACACTGGCAGGAAGCGCATCAGCAAACTCGTTGCAGCAACGCCCGTCACCGTTGCTGTAACTCCATCCCGATTTCTGGATGTACGAGTAGAGTTGCTGAGATTGAAGAGCATTTCAGCGAACGCCCCGCACTAGCAAAAAAAGGACCAAATAGCACTTTTCCGAACACACATAAAACACATTCCATCAAAGTTCTGCACGCTAAGGACACAAAAATGACACAAACCCGTAAACTTTGTACACTTTTGAACACGTGTTATTTGGCTCTATTCTTCCTAGTGCTGGAAAGCTAAACCGAAAACAGTGCCGTAACAAAGCACATGAAACAACAATGGAATTCTTGATTCGGCCGTGCATTGTGCCGCGCCAGGGGATTGAGCGTTTCCAACAGAATCCAGAGCTGACGGGCGCCATGCGGTCTCTCATGGACGAGCGAGACGAAGACGGCAATGGTCTGACAGTTCCGCAGCTCCAGGACAACATCCTCACCCTCATCTACGCCGGAATCGACACCACAGCGCTGCCACTGACAACGGCATTCATGAAAATGGCGCAGCATCCCGAGGTTGGTGGCAATGGCAACCACACCACCACGGACCTGTCACGTATCAGACACGCAGAGTTGCAGCGCTAGACACAATTGATTCCGTAATTGCCCTTTCCACCCACTTTCACTGGGCGTGAGTATGCAGGGATAAGCACAAGCGTGCACCGCACTTCGTTGCTGAAATTCTTGCAGCACGCACGCACCACACGGCGACATGGGCCAAATCATGCCATCGTTGTCCGTATTCATGTGTACTACGCGCAAGTAGCGCGAACATCGTGTTATAATTCTGTCCCAGTTTGAATGTCGGTGGTGAGCATTTAACATGCAAGTGGATGCCGCCTTGCGAATATTCCACCATGGAGACCGAACTGGAAAATCGCATACTATGTTGTATTGTCACTGGTGCCATTAACTCGAACGCATTCTTTTGTCAATAAAGATGCTGCTGTCACCCCCCTATACAGCTGGAAGTGGATGAATAGGCTGTATATAAAGCTAGGTTCAAGCACTTCTCAACACATTTGATAGGGCAAGCCATAAAATGCGCCTGCACCCAAGCACTGGCTGCATCTTCGCAAGGGCCAGCAAACTGGGGACGATCTGTCCTCCTTGCGTGCGTTATGTTTAAAGCGCAGTATGTGCTGCGTGCTTCTCTTTAGTATATTCCTTGATACTGCATGGATTGCAGAAGATGCTGTCACGGGCATTGATTTTGGATGACTCAGGTGTGGGAGAGGATGAAGAAAGAACAAGAAGATATCATCGCCGAGTACGGCCCTGTAATGACGGCGGAGGCCATCGACGCAATGGATTACACGCTGGCGGTGTTTTGGGAGAGCATTCGCATCATGCCCCCCGCTGCGAGCGTCTTTAGGCGCCCGACCAGGACCTTCGAGATCAATGGATGCCGCGTCCCCGAGGGCTGGTTGGTCATGCCTCTCGTGGGCGTCAACACGCAGCAGCTCGACCAACGGTGGCCCGGTGACATGGACTTTTGCCCGCACCGGCATTTCGAAAAGACTGATGAGCCAGTAACGGATACTGCCTTTGGCCTGGGGCCACACGCGTGCATCGGACGGAACCTCTCCTTGTTGGAGAGCAAAATCTTGTTGGCAACCATGGCACGGGGCTTCGACTACACAGTTGTGAATCCCGATCAGGCCAGGCGCTACGCGCCCCTGCCCTGGCCAGTGGACGGAGCCGCCATGGTGATCGAGGAAAGGAAAGGCGCCTGCACTGGTTGATGGACGCTCTTCTTCTGAAGGGTGGCAACGTCGCTGAACGATCAATCGGCTTCCAGTATTGGATGTCGGACATTGCTTAACCCTGCCGCTGCCGCCGGGAACTGACACGCCTGGTTTTGGAGTACACTAAAGGGTTGCTTAGGCGGTATCCGGAGGATTCAAATTGAGGGTCACGCATTCTCGGGTCTGTTGGTGATTAGATGGATAGTGGAGTCAGAATAGTGACATTCCTCGCACTAGTGTCTTAGACAACAGGGCATGGGACTCTGAGCTGGGCAACGAACGCTAGAGGGTACGCAACGTAATGCACACACACCACGGTGACGGCTCACCACTTATCCGCCATCCAGATGTTAATGTCTTCTGCCGGCACGTGGCTTTCTCAGCCGTTGCGTCAGGGGCGACTGCCAGCGCACCCAACTGAACATTTGCTGCACGGTATTCATTGCAGGTGCATATCCCAAGGTACGCAAGCTGTAAATTAACAGCGCCTTCTCCAATAATACATTGGATTCACGCTTGCTATTTACGTTTACAGCACCATTTGCGTTTACGTATTTATGTGTCAACCACGCAAACAGAGAAGCGTTCACATTAGTGGCCATACTCACGCACTTTTTCAGCATGAATCCCTTGTGGGAGAGTTTCTTTAAAGTCGCAGTGTACTCCTCCCACATGACCGTTAACAATCCCCACCCCGGCAACATACGCTTCGGTGTGGCGCTTACCACTCATGCGCCCCTGCGCGCCTGTGCCCAATTCGACGCCCCTTGACTCGCCACAGCAACGGGGCTATCGCCTGGAAACACGGATGTTACCACAGGCAGAAGAAGCGACAAGCGCCGCCACAACTGCGGGGCGCCAGACCGCCGCCCCTGCAGGGCGAGATGGTTCAACTTGGCGCCAAGGACGCCGGTTCAATTGCCAACTCGGCCGACTGGGGCCTTGATTCACAAGGCCTCGTCCTGCACAGTGGCCACCTGGCACCACACAGTGGGATCTATGCCGTAGATTGGCAGCGAAGAAGGGCACATACAAAGAAAGAGGCGGTGGGGTGAAGAGGCAGCAACGGCAACAACCAAATGCCGAAAAGAAATTCTGTCACAGAATGCCTGCGAGCGTAAGCTCGTTTCGTAGGGCACTGCACCAAGTCGATGAACCTTTTCGCTGATCCCTGGCCGTCTTCCAACCCAAAACGCGCGGGAAAGCCACCTCCGCTGTGATGCAGCCCTATAACCGCGTTGGCGACTGGATTCGCCTTGCCCACCATTCCCACCAAGATTAACAGATCTTGGCTCGTGTTATTTTCTGGCAAGGAGGGAACCCATATATTTTGTCTATGAAAGAAGCTTTCCTAAGCCTATGGCCTGCGTTATTCTGGCTGCAAGCTTCAGCGCTTACGGTGTATATGTCGTGGAGGCTTTGTTCTGTCGATCGACTATTTTCCCTATTGATCGGCTCAGTCCTTGTCCCGAGATTTTTCTTGTCAATCTTTTAGTGCGCCTTGGCTAGCCTTTTCCCACTGCTTGCTCCTTTTCTGGCGCAGAGCTAAACTTGCGTTGGGCGCCATACTTTGCACATGGAGGGCAAGCTGGCCATGATCGCGGGCCTATGCTGTGCCACGCGAGATTGTGCAGTCTCGCTCTGCAGGGACGGCAGTCTGGCGACCCGCAGCTGTGGCGGCGCTTGCCGCTACTTATGCCTGTGGGAACGTCCGTGTTTCCGGGCGATAGCCCCCTTACTGTGGCGAGTCAAGGTGCGACGACTTGGGCACAGGCGCAAAGGTGGTACGCGCTACCCCGAAGTGTATGTTGCCGGGCCGGGGAATGTTACCGGTCACGTGGGGGAGGTACACGGCGGCTTTAACGAAACGCCTTGTGGGACTCGACAGGCGATTAAAATTTAGCGTCCTGGCTTTCCAAGAGAAACAAGCTATGGTTCTGGCTTGCGCAATCTGCCGGGTGAGGCGCTGACGGGAAGGGCCCCTCTTGATTGATTCTTTCTGCAGCAGCCACAGGCATCCTTTGCTGCCATCACTCTTTCCAGTGAGGACAACTGCAACCTGGACGGCGGCTTCAGTGAAGCGCTGAGGTGTTCTAACTGGACGCGCTGCGTGAAATTCAAAGCCGCCCGCCCCTTTCACTAGCAGAAAACGGCATGTTTGCGATGCCAACTGCGATGCCATTTTGACACAAAGTGATGCCATCACAGTGATTGCGACGGCATAAAAGCGGCTGCGGTGGCGCCAATTTGTGTCAACTGGCGTCACAACTGGCATCGCAAGAAGGCTGTTTTCTAATGTGTTTTCCCTCCCCCGCCCCCAGCCCATGTTGATTGGCGGGCTAGGTACAAGACCGGCTTCGATCGATCCTTGCCAGATTGCATGCAACGCTGAGCGAGTGCAGCTACAAGACCGTTGAGTTTGCTGTGGGCCACGTTGGCGCGAGCACGGCCCTTTCAAGCGCCCCACGAGCTGCTGCTGGCGACTTGGGGGAGGCCCACGGGGTGTCAACACGCGTACGCTGGGCACGGACCGATTAGCGCCGTTTCCGGTGTCGCCCCGGCACACGGTGCTTGGACCTAACGCGTGGCCGATGGCGATGAGATTCCGCCGGATTCGATGACTCAATTAATACCATGCCAGTAATTGCTCCATGTCGGGCGTCCCATGCAACAACATGGGTTTCCAGATCTGCATGTCGTACGGTGTGTACGATGTGCTTGGGCTCGCGTGGGACATGGGGCACGAGGTTGGGATTGATATTACTTCACTACATACACTGGGCATAATCCATGGGGATTCCATTATTCATACCAGATCACTGCATTTCATGGGACAGTAGGGAGTGGCGACATGGGACCATGAAAAATCGATTCCGAACACACTATCTGCTTGGTTTTCACGCTCATCATCGCCTACCAGGTGCACGGGCTGTGTTTTGTCATTTTGTGACAAATGCAATCCATGGACTTTGATGATGATGATGTCGTACAGTGGCATGTGAACGATCTTGGGGAACCATGCACACAAGGGGCGTGTGCGTGTATTGAGGCATCGACATGACGGGCGCTGGTGGACACCATTTTCGCCATCTGGCCAATGTCACGGTATGTGGCTTTGCTGTATACTGTGGAGACATGCTAGGTGCTGCGGGGTTGGAGCAGCAAGTTCGCATGATATGCTCCATGGATTGGTCAGGCACGTATATTGGCCAATTGAATTCACATGCCGTTGAGGCTGCAACGATCCACCCTGCATTCCAGCTCAAGCTTATGCAATATTTGGGTAGCTGTCGCCCTACTGCTATTGTGTGGGTTGAGTATGAGAGATTTGTTCAAGCCATAGTTGCTGCTGCGGAGGTACTTGGAGCAAATTCAAACACGGACACTAATTGATGGAGTTTATATGTCGTTGAAGTTGCATGATGAGTGTTAAGCAATACATATTATTGATGGGAATACGATGGGAGGGGCGATGGGGAGGTATGTAGCATATCTGAAAGATGATTGGTGATACCAACGCAAATATTCTGTGTGGATTCAGGGACATTACTTAAATTTTGGACGAGAGGGTGCGAGTGTGACATGACCTTTGTGATTAATATTACCCATAGTAATTACGTACTGCATTGTGATTATGTTCTCCAGAGAAGTGCTGTTCCATGGACTGTACCGGAGTTAGAGTTTTGAAACGTGCTTCTGAAGTACTACTGAAGTAAATAAATGGTGGCTGTGCAGTGTGCCCCACTATAGAGTCGGGTCTTTGGTGCGCAGCCAGATTGCAATGGCGGATAGTGCTGAACACAATTGTAAGATTTTGATATACTTGCATCTGTATCTCTATGACCTCCATTGGAAGTGTTGGCACATTGCATGAAACCCTGAACTTTGTTGATCAACAATAGTTAGTCACTGTTACAACACCACCGTAGTCACTACTACGGTCACTGCCATAGCCATGACTATGGCGTCGACAATGCCTTTGGGGAATTGGGCACTCCCTGTGAATTGGATTCCATCAACATCGCACTATGGGATTCCAGATTCTGCGTGGATTTCAGAATATGTTGTTATAGCATTTCAAGCGGCGGTGTCGCTGTACGCCGGACTTGGTATTTACGGCGCAAAACAAACTTCGTATTCAGGTCTACTCGTAAAAATAGTACTTACGTTTTGTACGTAAACAAGCGTAAAGGTGCGCAAGTACAGGCGTAAATACCCGTCCATGTAAATGGAGCCTGTTCTGACCATTCAATCAGTGACCGACTGTTTCTCACAAGGAAAAAATCGCCAAATAACACGTGTTCAAACGTGCACAAAGTTTACGGGTCTGGGTTATTTTTGCGTTCTTACCGTGCGGAACTTTGTTGAAATGTGTTTTGTGTGTGTTCGCAGAAGTGCTATTTGGCCCTTTTTTTGCTAGTGTCTTTTGCCCGCCATGGGGCGCAAGAGTGTGCTCTAGCTGTCCGCCAAGCACTTTATGGACGCGAAAAGCTTGCAAGCCACCTGCGCATACTGTGGCTTAGTCGTGAATGGTGGGGAGGCGCGACGATTCTGTCATCTTGCAGCTGGGCGCGTTGGAGGGGGCAGAAGGCGACCTTTCTTCGACAATCTCGTTGCCTATAGGGAGGTATGGTTGCCGTGTTGGGGGTGCTCGAGGGGCAGGTGGACTGGTCACTGCGTGCATATATTACACATTCTACGCATGTGACTGCATCATGTAACCTGGATGTCCCAACGAGCGGTAAAATCATGTAAATATAGCCGTAAAGTACCCCTGTCTGTGTGTCTACGAGTACGTTTTCACGTTTACTGTTTTGTGCGTCAAACGTTAACGTAAAAACCAAACCTGCTGCCTGCCAAATGTGCCCTCAAGTCGTGAACACCCTGAGGTCTCAAGATTGAAGCCTGAGCCGTATTTTGTTGTTCGTTCCAACCATTTGAAAGTGAATGCGGCTTCGATTTTCGTGGCATACAGAACCGGGGTGCCGGCCCGTCGGTGCGGCACTCTTCGCAATGGCATATAATCGCGATTTCAGTTTGGCAGTCCCACATACGCGCAATTTGTGCCTCTTTGAAAACACAAGCTATCACATCGCCAGATGCGCACGTGCATCAAAAAGGGCAGGAGCTTTCCCCACAGCCACTAGCCACAAAGGCGCCGTCCGCTCATCACCTTGTACCGATATGGATTTCGATCTTCTGAAAGGCTGAAAGATGTTTCAATCTGATTGACTGATTCGTGCACGTTGATCGCGCTGCCGATTTCGTTTCCTAGACAGCCCGAAATGCAAACGCATTGTGGCATTCATTGGCGACCCAGCGATTGCATCCATTGTCACTCAGGATAAGAACATCGGAGCCCTCCATGATGTGGCATGACGAGGCTCCAAGAACGTCCGTGTCGCCCAGACCGTCATCCGACGTAGCAAAAGCAGTGCCAGCTGTAACCTCAAGGTCGCGGTTTAAAGTCCGAGAGCCAGGCTGTCACATTGGATCGACACGACAGCGTCGGCCTTTGCGGAAGCCGCGGTCGGTCAACTGCGGCTGCGTTGTTATGTGATGCCCAGGTAGGTGGTCATGGCCTGCAAAAAGGGTCCCGAAGGCGGGAGGATACGCGGTCCGGTGTACATACAGAGCTTGCTGCTCAGCCCGTTTTCCGCGTTTGATGCGCCGGGTGCCGGGACTGCGAAACCGCTCGGGCTCTTAGCGGGCGCGCCATGAGTGAAGTTGCAGTCCAAATCCGCGGACGCAGCGGCACAGCCCTGCACTGGCCGCCCTCGTCCCCCGGAGCCGCTGCGCAGCCGGCCTGTGGGCCCGCTGTGCGTGCGCTGGCGAGTGGGGACACCGCACCTGGGAAGGAGGGTCGGGTCCTGACCGCTGGAACCGTTGGACTCCTGGAAATCGCGGGGCTGCCCAAGCGACGCACTGCAGGGGAGCAACGTGGATTCCGCCGGTTCGGTTGGGCTGAGCCGCCAAGGTGGCCAAGATGATGCCGTTCACTTTCCTGTGGCTGCCCAACCCGGTTGATGAGGCCGTCTTCGCGAGGCGATACGCCGCGAAGTACTTCGCGGTCAGGGACCTCATGTTCCGCGCCATTCGTGCCTGCGTGATTCCGGTGTTCCTCTGCGTCCGGCTGTGGCAGCATGGTCTCGGGTGGCAGGCCCTGAACGCGCTGCTCAACGTCGCCCTGAATGTTTTGGTGGAGTGGATGGGATTCGGGTGGCAGAGGGACGCGCTGGGTGGCAAGAGAACCGCCATGGCGGTGGCTACAAGAATCGTCATTCTCCTCACCCAGGCGATGGATGCGACCAGCATGGAAATCCCGGTCCAGACGCCTTTGTCGATGGTCCGCTTCATGCTCCTGCCATCGGGACTTCTGGTGCTATTCTTGACCAGCATTTTCGTTCCGCTTCTCGCGAGGCACCACCTCCCGGTGACCCTGGCTGGGATCGTCGCCATGGGCTTCGTCACAGTGCCCAACGCGTGCGACGTGGCCGTCAGCGCCCCTGAGAGCGGTGCCATCGTCCTGGCCGTCTGGCACTTCACAAATGCCGTCTTCACGGGGGGGGTGCTTGGAGAAAGCGGCCAGCCTGCTCCTTACGACGCCTGCCAAGGTGTTGTTAACATGGCGCACTTTGTGCTTGGGTTCCTCTTGCCGTCGTTCGCGATGTGGGCAGTGGAGTACGAGGAGCGAACAAATTTCAGTGAGGGGATTTCTCGTCCGAGAGAGCTCCTGACAAATGACATTATACGCAAGCACATGTTCTTGTTTTTTCTTGTGATGGGCTGCGTGTGGTTGTTTCTGAACCTCAGAGTGTGGATGTAGATATCGGTGAATGGGGGCGAGCACGATTGGACTGCCTGCCATGTCAGGGATACGCTTACACATAAGGGTGTTTTGGACTTCCCCACTACCTCTGATAATTGGAACGTGCGGGCTGGGATTGTTTTAATAACCGCCCGAGATTGGTGAATTCAGGGGTATGGCAGAATCAGTTATCACAATGGGCTGTGCCGGGGAGCGAAATTGTGGGAATCGTTTGACCACAATGTCTGCTTGCCCCTTTGCGATGAATTGCGCCGACGCTACTGACGCCCCACCATTCTTCTAACCCCTCCTTGCAACGTCGCAGGAGATTGGCCTTTTGCCGCAGCTTCTCCTAGTGATATGCCCAAGAATTGGGTGCAAATGGGGGTGGGCGCAGAAGGCGAGATCATTCAGATGCGCTTAATCATCAACCGACCATCTCATGAGATTTCCCTTCGCTTGTTGTGCTGAAGAAAGTCCGTTGGTTATGACGCCAGATGCTTAGGTGCCAAGTTGGCCCATTGCACTTGCGCGGACTGCGTTGTGATGGCAGAAGATTGGAGAGCAGTGTTGGAGGTCTGCATTACTCTGAAGCATTCCATTTCTTGTGCGTGGGGTTCGGGTTACCGGCACTTGACCGCCAAAACGACTTTGCCAAGAAAAATACGCTAAAATATTCAACCCTTCCACGTCAGAATGTTTTGCTGTTGCGCTGTCTCCTCCAGTTTTCTGCTCTGCATTGTGTCCTGCAAGCTCGGGGTGGGCTAAAAAACTGCACGCCAAGTTTCAGTTGCAGCTGACCAATCCCCAGACTCCTACACGCATGCGCTGCGCGACCCGAGCAGGGTTCCACAAAGGGTTCAGCCAAAAAAATTGCTGCGTGTCCCAAGCGCTGGGGACGGTCCCCGAGAGCCCCACCAACGCGCCAGTGCAACCAGAGGAGCAGATTGACGCTCATTCCGGGGCAGATTCGAACGGGGCGGGGTTTGGCTGGTGGGGTGCGCCCGCTGATTGAGGCGCGGCTGGACAGCTGGTGCTGCTCAGGACATAGCAGGCGTCGCCGAGCAGCTGTGGCTGAGGAGCGGGCCGCCGCGACCCAGACCCCGGCAAGAAGTTGAAAGGGGCGTGGAAACACAGGCGGCATCTGGTGAATTGAAGCCGGCGGTCGCACAACACCGCGGCGTGGTCGATGATAAGACAGCGCAGCGGGCCTTGCGTTGCAACTGTACTTAACTGACCGGCTGCGCTTGCATCTGCTCGAACATACACCGTGCTGGATTGAGTTGAGGTCGTTGTCACACACAGGACCATGGCGCGATCGATGGGAAGGCAGTGCAGCGTGGCTTCGAACGCAGCCATCCAATTTCATTCACCTGTGGTGCGTGTATGAACGCGAACGTCAATCTCGTCATGCACCTCGGCACGTAGCTTGGCACACAGCCTCTCGTTTTCACTGACCATTGGTGTGGGAAGGAGGCCAGAAGCAGGTGCCAGACCGTTCATAACGACCTGCCAAACGCTGTGGGCAGTCCAGAGAGCCTGGCGCCGCGGCTGAGCCGGTTAGCCGCGGAGGGCGATTTCCAGACGGCTTTCGGGTGCCGCGCCAGCACCCAATGGCACTGCGGGCTGTAGTGAACCCTGCTCCTCTTTAAGTTGAGAGGAGCGTTGCTGTGTTAGCTGCACTGAAATTTTTACTTGCATAGTTACTCTTTTATTCGTAGCTCAAAAATGCCAAGCATTGGGTGACTATGCAAATGAGTTCAATATTTTACAGTGCATTTTATGAGAGAAGCCCGAAGCAAAATTTATGGAGTGCTCATCTGCCATCAAAACAATTAAAGTAAGGGCAAAAAGAAACATGCTGATGTAAATGACAAGGAAACATTGAAAAGAAGTGACTGGATTCACCCCTCACTTCACACTTCACATGCCAAACTCCACGAAGCACTATGGTCCAGAGCTTGGCCAACGGTGGTCAAAAAGTGTCGGCATGTCTTCTTCAGCCTTCCTTCGGGCGTCGGCACTGTTGGGCGCATCGGCTGCCTGGGGGAAACGTCGGCCCCATCAGCTCCCTCCGGCCCCCGCCCGCCCTGTCACCCTTTGGCGTTATCCGCTGATTAGTGCTGATGGTGTAATACCGATGTGCCAACGTGCCGACCTCGCCGACAGAGACTTTTCGCCTCTCCATGCCCCCACCCCTTTGCTTCACCAAGCGAAAGGTGTTATCGCCGGCATATTGGCGCCAACAACAATGCCCATCGGCGCCAATCACACGCCGACGGTGCTGACAGTGCCGGCGCCTTGTGGCCGCCGGATCCTTCCGGGCCCTTCGTGCCTCCTTCGTCACCACCTGTAGTCGCCCGTCAGAATCCTTGGGCGCTGACGCCTCCCGAAGTCCACCAGCGTGCAGACGGAAGATTGCGCCAGCGCGTCGGCGCCTTTTGCCATCGTCGACCGCCAGTGAGTATCGGGCTCTTGCCCCCTCAACACATTGAATCACTTTGACGACGGTGCTCTTGTTAACTGCAACCCCAACCAAGTTTTCAACCACACGGAGAATCGCCGTTACTCATTCGCCCACAAGGAATAACCATCGCCTGGGGTGGGCGCTTTCCCTTTCCTTCACCACCATGGCCCGTCTGTCCTCCAGCCAGGGGAGGGACGTATGGGGCTTGACCAGATTGGGATTCAACACTGTGCAGACAAGCCCCTCGCCATCGTCGCCGACAGAATCTTACTCTCCAATACGAGCAGGGGGGGCCCCAAGCCTGTGTGGGTCCGCAAGCCAAATGGCGAGTCAAGAACGTGGATTCTCCCCTCCTCGGTCAGGTACCGGTGCGGACTGTCGTCCGTGTCGCCTCGCCACCTGTCGTCAAGGAGCCGTGCTGTGGTGCCGACCAGCGGGATAACCAAGGAACCCTCGGGGATGCAATATCCGTTCATCTCAAAAGTCCTGCTGGCGAGCTTGAAGACGACCCTGGCCAAAACAAGGACGCGTATACCTTCCCGGAAGACTGCCACAGTCTATTCCATCGAGTCGATGGCCTTTTCTGTTAATCTCGGACCCGTACATAGCGATGATGGCGTCTTGCTACTCCCTCGATTTCTACAATAACTGAGCGACACAGAGACGAGCTAACAATATGTCTAACAATGTAGCCTATAAGCTCGGTAGTGGCCGCCATCAGAGGCGTGCCTTCATAAAGGCACGCTCCCAATCAGAAGCGTGGAAGGTTGCCTGGGCATGCTCATGGCACATTGGATTCGTGCACTACATTGAGCGATGTGTGACACCATGTGTATGGATGCGTTTAAGGATCAACAATACACGCATCCCCCATAAATCAATATTGCTTATACAAATATCCTATCAATGTTTTATAGATGTGTTTTCGTGAACCCTTGTTATTGTGTAGATTTGCGCTCAAAACTGTCATTGCAATCTAGCAAGGCGATAAAGCTTTGTGTCACGCTTAAATGTGGCTCTTCGTCGGCAAGGCAATGTTGGGCGTGCAACGATGGGTTCAAACTGCACAGGAAGGGCGATTGCGGTAATGCAAAAATGATGTCCGAAATAATTGTTGCCCAATGCAACACATTGCACCCATATATTGTAGTGCCAGTTGGTGACAACGTTGGCACCTCACATCGGGATGTTGCGCCATTTTCAGAGCGTAGTAGACAGCGACAGGCTCGCCGTGTCCAATCCTCCATAGAAGGCGGTGATGATGTTGTTCTGCTGCTCCAGCATCGAGCATCCTTTGTCTTCCTCGTCTCGCTCATCAATCATGCTGCGCATGGCGCCTTTCAGCTCCGGATTGTCTCGCAAGCGGTTGATCCTTGAAACGACGCAACACATTCTTAATCATTGCTTTTCGTGACTTCATTCCTGTGGTAGAATAATATCATCACATAAGACTGCCAACTCCATTTGCTCTTGGTCTCGTTAGCAATTTCGTTGATCTCCTGGCAATGTTCCCAGTGCATATTCCTTCGCTGCTCCCAAAGTATGTTCTCTAGCTCGAATAATCTTGTCATAAATCAATAAACCAGTACCGCAATAACGCCGAAACACCGACCAAGCTTGTTTCTGCTTGTGTTTTTAAAGCACAATTCCCACAGCACATTCGCCTACATGCGTGCATAAGACTAAATTTTAGCTAACGAGGAAAAAACACACTTTTGGCATTCTTTCAAAGTACTTCCTCCGTCCCAGATTAATTGTCGTCTATTTGAAAGGCCAAATTTGTTATAAGGACAGCCTCAGAATTTGAAAACAAGAACAACATAGAAAAGATTGCATCTCAGAACCCTTGGCTATCAATTTGAAAGAAGAAAAAGTGAGACATTATCCCTTTGAGCGCAAGGAGATGGTAAATTGTGGTTATTTTCGACCCCAAATATTGAGGTTTACTATGTAAAAAAACCCTTGAAACAAAGTACTGCCAAATCCTCAATATTTAATGGATTAACTTGAAATTTTGTGGTGTACTCCTAACTCAAAAAGACAACCGTATGCATTTTTTTTAAAAAGTGCGGTCATGATGGAGAAATAGTGCCCCAAAATCATAGACGACAATTAATCTGGGACGGAGGAAGTATGTTTTATAGCTACATGTTCATTCCACATTTTTTTGTGTGCTACTGACACGTGACAAAGCAGGATAGCTGTCACAACTTTAGAATGTTTTCAATGGAAGCCAAATTGAAATCTTGCATTCCGCAGATCGCACCTCGACCGTCATGTTCAAGAACTCTCGCCTTGCTGCCATGGCTTTCCCAAGCTGTGTGAATGGAAGATTAGCCCCAAAGAAGTACTTGCCGAAAATCCGCAACGCATTGTACATGTCTTCCAGGGACCTTCCATTGAGAGGAAACTCCATGCTAAGCACGGCGCCCGTTGCAACATCCAATGCGTAGTGCTTCAGCTGGAATGGGAAAATCATTCTGGGAGCCATACATGCCACAAATGCTCTTTTCATCAATGCAACATTGCGAAGGTAATGTTAGAAATCGGG